GGAGTTACTGACAGAAACATGATCAAACAGACATACATACTGACGCAGAGATAGATTTTGTGCCTATATTTGAATGTGCTTGTGAGTGTATTTATATGTGTGTGTGTTCGTGTCAACGTGTTTTTGCTTCTGTTTCCCTTAACAATACATTAACATGTCTCTCGTTTCAGTAATGGCGGCCATTAAGGAGGGTGCCGACTTGAATTTTATCATAGGCAATGGAGTGTCTCTACTGCATAAGGTAAGAGATGTTACTTCATGTATTTACCTTTCTGAAGCCATAGACAGCTTTTTGGCTAGGTGTTGTGTCATTCTCTGTTATCAGGAAGGAATCGTCGTGTTATTGACTCAGTTGTTGATATAATGATGTCCCTACTATTGTTGTTGTTGTTGTTGTTTCTCTGTTATCAGGAAGGAATCGTCGTGTTATTGACTCAGTTGTTGATATAATGATGTCCCTACTATTGTTGTTGTTGTTGTTATCATTATTATTCTTGTTTTTGTTGTTGTTTTGTTATTGATGCATTGTTAATATTGGCGAGTTTGTTGTTGTCATCGTTGCAATATCCTTTTTGTTTTGGAGTTGATGGTGTTTTAGCTATTGTGTTGCAGTTATTGTTGTAGATGTCCTTACCGTTAATTCTGCTTCTGTTGTTTTGATGATGATGATGATGATGATGATGATGATGATGATGATGATGATGATGAACACCTTGCTACTTTCATCAGCACAATCCCCTCCCTCTTACTACGTGACCATAATGATACGCGTACGTTTATCTCTAGGCCTGTGTAGAAGGTTCCCCTCAGATGGTAGAGTTGTTGCTAAAGGGCGGGGCCAACGTGAACTGTCAAGACGATGATTGGTGGACTCCACTGCACGCCGCTTGTTACCAAGACAACGTGGAAACTGTGCAGCTATTGCTTCAGGTATGTTTTAAATGCGTAAAATAAATTTAACTGTTTACGCGTAATTATTCTTTCAGTGGGTTTGTTGCTGTTGATGTTGTTTGTTTTGCTGTTTGGTTTGTTTGTTGTTGGTTTTCTTGTTGTTGTTGTAGTAGTTTTGTTGGGTTTTTTGGGAGGGTTGTTGTTGTTTAACATTTTGTTGTTGTTTGGTTTGGTCTTTTTCTCCTTAGTTTTTTTTTTATTTAGGTGGGTTTTGTACTCCAATTAAAACAATGCAGATCATTTAGGGGTGAACTACTTTGACCTAACCTGTCGAGGCCATTCCGGGGTGAGAAGAAGACAATATTCCACCAAGAAGACCGAGCGAGAAACTTTATAAAATCCGCCCCCCC